CCAGCATTGGCTGGCTGGGGAATTCTGGGAGTTGAAGTCCACTCATCTTAAAGTTGCTGAGGTTGAGGAACCCTGCTGTACTGTATCAGTTCAAACTAAAGCTTCCCATATTGGTTATCCTTTGTTCCATACTACTCTGAAAGCCCTTGGCTTCATTTCAAGCAGTAGCTTCCCTAACATATAGCTGTATTCTCCTCCATTCAGTCTGCTGAAGATATCCAGGAGGAAAAGAATCCAGTAAAAGAAATAACTGATAAAATTATTGATCTGGTCAGCAAACGTGATGGGAATAGTTCGCTTATTGCAGCTGTTGCAGAAGTCCGGGTCCAGAGGCGGCCAGTTAAGAGCAAAACAGGTAAACCAGTTTGAGAGGAGGATGGCATTTTTCTTTCTTTCCCCTAAACTAAGAAGACAAACCAGTCTGTCATAAGTCTGCTTTGGAAAATGGGGCCTTCGCTGATTGTGAGATAAAAGTACTTTGAAATATAATAAATGGTAATACATGGCTTGAAATTATGCTGTACAGTTTGTAACCGGGGCATCTTCAGGAGTGGAGGTCAAAAAAGTCAAGATGTCCACCATACAACCAACGCCCCACTCCCTTTTACATGCATTGTGCATAAAAAGGGGTGGGGCTTTGATTGCAGAGTCGGAGCTGACATCTTGATTTTGTTTTACTTCCCTTGTGGATGCCCCTGTTTCTAACTAACAGGAAAGAAAACCCCTGTGGCTTGATCCAATAAAAGTTGTTCTTAGGAAGAGCTCAGAGTTGAACTAGCCCTATGAGGACTGTAGATAATCATCTCCTCTTGTGGTCAGGCATTGAAATTTACTAAACGTTGTTCCATTCTTCAGCTTCTGCAAATAACATTTCTATTGAATGAGTGAGATGTTGGTCCTAAATGGGAGGGGAATTGGACAACAACAACAATAATAATAATAAACCTTTAATCCCATCCAACAACATCTGCCTATCCCAGATCCTTGGGAAGGACTCGATAGGTGGATGAAAATGCCAAATCCAATCTAAACATCTGGCTGACTGTGCGGCCAACAATAATTTATTAAATTTGTATGTGGCGTGACTCTGGGTGGCTCACAACAATCAAAGAAATTAAAATATAACATAAAAAATGAAGAAAAAAAGATAGCAGGTGCAGTGAAGGGTGCAACCTGGGTGAAGAGTCAGGTCTTCACAGCTCTTCTAAACAACAGTAGCGTGGGGGCCATCTGGATCTTGTGGGGCAGGGACCTTATTCTAGAGGGCAGGCACTCCAGGGTCCTGAGAGGTGACATTGTTTAACTGAAGGAACTGGGAGCCCACCTACCCTGCAGGATCAAATCAGCCAGACAGATGTTATGGGAGGCAGGTGTTCCCTCAAATAACCAGGCCCTATGCCATGCACGAATGACTGCAGCCCATTGTTAAACTGGCATTACAACAAAACAAAACAAAACAAAGCTCTTCTTAGAATGTCAATTAGGCCACGTTGATAACCCTTAAGTAGGAAGATCAATATCAGATATCAAGGATTACATGCAGGCTTAGTAATACTTAAACCGTACCTTTATAAATCTGTGAGACATGTTAGACATAATTAGTCTTGATCCCATTGATTTGGAAGGTTTTCTCTAAATGAGACAGTCTGAACCCAAACTCTGTGAGCCTAGTTAGGTCAAGAACAACCTTCAGAACTCACATGGCACACTGCTAGTCCTGAGTCTAACACAGAGAAAAAGGAAGCGTTCTTTGACCGCAGCTTTTGTATTTTAAAACTTGTGTAACATCCTAGTCTACATCTTTTACAACTAATTTTTAAAGTTAAAAGTTAGGTAAGGAATTTGTTAGCATGGGAAGACTTTTTCTACCATGATGCCCCCCCACCCCCGGCAAACCCGGTATGTTGGAATTCAGCCACCAAAATCCCCCAGGCACCAGGGTCAAATGACATTCTGAGAATTGAAACTCGACATTATGAAGCACCAGGTTGGAGAAGGCTGGTGTGAGGTCTGTCATTCAAGGAAGGACCTATCCTGCTTCTTGAGGTGCTAACGGTGAATCCAAATTGCCTTCCAGATTTCTTGGTTCCGTTACTGAGCTCAATTTTAACTGTGGCTTGGATCTGCTGCCTGGTCACTGCCTTTTACTGGTGCATCAGGAAGCGCCGAAAGCAGAGTACACACACACACACCACCTCGGAAGACAACACCACCAACAATGTGCGGGAGCAACTGAACCAGATCAAGAACCCCATTGAGAAACTTGGGGCTAATGCTGTGCCGATCAAAGACTATGAGAACAAGAACTCTAAGATTGCCAAAATAAGGACACACAACTCAGAGGTGGAAGAAGATGACATGGACAAGCACCAGCAGAAAACCCGATTTGCCAAACAGGCAACCTACACGCTAGTAGACAGAGATGAAAAGCCACCCAACGGCACTCCCACAAAACACCCAAATTGGACAAACAAACAAGACAACCGGGACTTGGAAAGTGCACAAAGTTTAAATCGGATGGAATATATTGTATAGCAGACAGCAGGTGCTGCCGTGCAGGGCCTTCACCTATCAATCTAAGGCAACTCGGAGCTTGTAGTTCTTAAAACGGTTGTGTAATATTTTGAGTCTAAGGCTATTATTTGCTTAATATCCCTGTGTTAATTTAAGTTTTGACAAGCTGGCTTACACTGGCAGTGATAGTTGCTGTGGTTGGCTGGATTACCAAGTGCTGCATTTCACATCTATGCAAAACTAGTCAAAAGTGCCCCTGTGTCAATTCAGTCACAGCTGATGCATCCCAGAAAATTTTCATAAGGAATTGGTAGGGTTTTATTTAGCATTTTTCCTGTAGCGGGAAAGAATTATATATGCATATAGGTGGGTTTGTTTTGTTTTCCCTTTTTCTCTCTCGAGATGTCGCAATCTGTAGTCTTAGAAAAAAATATGTTTTATTTATTTATTGAATTAGAGTTCTTTTGTATATTGGTTTTATGGTGACATACAACTAGTTCTGTATTTGAAAGTGCCTTTGCAGCTCAGAACCACAGCAACTATCAAAAAAAGTTTATTATTTATTTTTTTATTGTAAAATTCTTTTTTTTTTTTTTTTTT